CTATAATCACTAAAAAAATCAGGCTTAACTCTCCTCGACAATCGAGGGCAAGAAAAAAGAAGATTGGGCAAGTACTTTATTTCTTGTTTTTCATACTTATTCTTAAATTATTATTATAAAAGTACCTAAAATTAAAAGTACAGATCTTTTTAAGTTATCTAAGACTAGATTAGGTAAAATAAGTAATAATAATAATAATAATAATATAATTAAAATGGTTCACAAGGCACGCATGTGAGCAGCTCGTGAGTAATGTAATTTGTTAGCATAATGTGAGCTGCACATTTTCCGAGTGATTTACAACTTATAATGGCACAGATAGTAGTTAGACACAGTTCCAAGGGCAATAAAACAATAAAATTTAATTGTAAATAGATGTATAATGTTACAAACTTAAAACTACTTAGGATAAACAAATGTAGTTTTATGTTATAGTTTGAAGTCATTCTAGAAAGAAAAAAAAGGTTAATTTAGGTTTATTTCGATTATTTTTTTTTTTATGGCTACGAGGTCGGTTGAATTGACCAATCCAGTTTTCAGATAGGGTAGAGAAACTAACATATAAACTGTAAGAATTTAGTGAAAAAATCGTTTAGTGAAAAAATCATTTAGGAGGTTTTAGGGATTACACAAAGGAAATTTGAGATTTTTGAGATAATAAAAACTATTTTTAATTTTAACATGAAAATTACTTTGTACATGGACTATTCAAAATAAACACTTAATATATTCATGGACAAATCTTTATTTTATTTTATTAAAAATATGACTTTTTGTATGTGAAAGACTTGTAATATTAACTGAAAGACAACCAAATTTTGTGAAGATATACCCAATATATGGAGAGTTATAAGTATTAAATTTATAAAGCATTTAAATTAGAACAAAACGTCACGTGACTCAGTCAAATAGACCGAACCCGTATTGAGAGAGTTAAATAGTGGAAAAAATAAAAATATTTTATTTTTCTGAAACTACATACTTTTAGGAAAGTTCAGGTCAAATTTCAAACAATTTCATCCACTAGTTTCATTTCTGTTAAGAACTTTCATGACAGTTATCTAACCTATTTGCAAAACACGTATGTTGCTATTATAGGGTTAAAAAGATACAAATCATCTGCTTAAGACTAGTCATGATTGTACATCAGCCATCCTCATCAAAGCCATATTACATCTCATAAGCCTTATCATCATTACAGAACACCCATCAGCAGGAGACAATCATGAGTGAACAGGTACTATACAGCCAACACTGTATGTCCTCAAGTAGGGTACAAATCTGGCACCACTGGTATCTGTGTAAATCAGCCTAGATGGTCAAAAAGCATAAAATGGGCAGAAGATAAAAAAGGAAAAACTTTTAACATGTTTTTGTTTTATAAAGCCAATGGTGGACAGTAACCTGTCATCATAGCCACAGATGGTTCCTACACCAATGATAGCAATAGAGGTGGTTGGGCATTCATTATCTCATGGAGCAAGAACATTATTCATAAGGCTGGTGGATAATTCAAGCTTCCCAGAAGCAGCATAAGGATGGAGCTGGAAGCCATAAAACGTTCTCCTCTGGATTTCTAAAAGCATCACATCCCAAACAGACAGCACCACCAACATAATATTTGTAAATGACTCACAGGCAATACTTCATAAAATTCAGAGAGGTTGGTTGCCAGATGGAAGGCAGAAAGAAATGCAACAGCCACCATCACACAGAAAAACATGTTAAGCCATGTTGAGTAAAGGTAAACCAGGATGCTGACAAGACCTTTTATCAAATCCATCACAAACCTATTGGGAGGATATGAACCTGTTATGCAATAGTAAAGGAAAAGCAGCAACCATAGACTTTTTCTTTTTTCAACATTCAGGGGTAATGATACTGCTATAAAACTTTATAGTGTAGCCAGAAAAGGCAAGAAAGATGGGGAATCAATAGGGCAGTATACAGTTAGAAGGCCACTGGTAACATCAGTAAAGAAAGACTATCATACCTCTATGAGGCAGCCAGCTTCTCCCTGAGGGGTCAGCATCTGTTGGTACAACCCCTGGAATTGTCACCTAGTGCTCACCTCAACTAAATTCAACTATGCTGTATTCATATGCCACCTCTATGTCCATAGTAAATTGAAATATTTAATCATAAAGCCAACGATATAATATCCAAGTTATGAATTAATACTTATTAAAAACTTTTAATCATTAAAGTTTTGAATTTCTAATCCATAATTTTAAATTTTCACATCTACAGAGTCATAGTGGGGACTGAAGTATTTTGGACATATTTGCTGCAATTAAAAAATTTAATTCCTGCAAACAGTTCTTTTAATGCGGTTTTATTGACAGATGAAAGAGGGCATTTATATGTTGGTTATAGAACAAATTCACTTATATTCTGCATTTGTGAACAGTGAAAATACAGTGAAGAAATATTTAAAACATTTTCCCTATAATCTACAAAACTTTCAAAGATATGTGCACATGATTCTAACTGAAAGTATACTTTGAAAACCAGCATAAAGTAAACAACTCTGTTTCCAGGATGTACTGTAAAGTAACTCTCATAAGAAGACCTTGGAAAAAGTCTATATGTACAGAAAACTTTCCACAAAGAAGTTTTTGTACCTTATGCTTCTCATCACAAACCTAAGCCAACAGCAATTGCCAGAACATAAATTAAAATTCTATTTGCAGTTTCAAAAAATCCAAATTTAAAGAATGAAAATTTTTACAGCCTAAATTGGAACTCAATAAACACCTCAACAGTTTCATCTCGAAGTTATTTCAAAATACTACAAGAAAACAAAATCAGGTAAAATAATAAACCTTACTAGTACAATGAAACACACAATGCTATGAGTTGGTCAATTCCACAGTTCAATGACTGAACTAAGGTGGACTTAGAAATGTTTCTAAAACAAGCACTTACCAAGAAAAACTGAAAAGCTAAGTAAAATGCTTAAACAGAACTAATTATATCTGCATGCATATATATATACCAATCATCAAATGTAAGAAAAAATGTCTCAAAAAAGAAACTGAGGCATGCAACAAAAGTTTGGAGTGTAATGGCATATACAAAACAGCATGCATTTCTTGAAATGAAGTTTATGCTGAAAAATCATTTCATGTTTTTGTGAGATAGTTGTTAAACTTCTACAATAATGAAGTATAATACTTCATATACAATAAAACTTAGATTTTTAGATCAAAATGTTTTTCATCTGCAAATATTAAAAAAAAAATTCCAAAAAAGTATTCATCTTACCTTAATGTTGTTATTTCCTTTACCAAATTTACAGTTTGTGGAGAGAGCAGTGTTTCAGGTAAAATTACTTCTATAGGATGAATATGAATTAGACAGCTCTCCAGTTCTGACCTTGTTTCAGAATCATGAAAACTGCTGTATAAGACATCTCCTGTAGTTGGCTGAACGGCCTGCAAAAGAAATTCAGTTCTCCTTCATTCTTCAACTACATCTACATTACAATCATTATAAAGATTTCAAGAGAACACCATAACTTAAGAAACATAAGAAATAAAACTATTATAAATAAAAGCAAAAGAAAGTTATGTTATTAAAATATTTATCAACATATGACAAAAAATTCTTAGCTTTCTTGAAGCTTTATGTGTACAAATTTGTTACAGATATTGGAAGATTAATATTACCTAATTTGATCTTACAGTGTCAAGGTCAAAACTGCAAACTTTTGTTATCTTTTATAGTATACAATCATACTTTCCATTTTGGTGGGAAAAAACTGTCATATTAATTACATAATGTTAAAAATTCCTTAAGAATGCATACCTAACAAATGTATTTCCAATAGGTGCTTACCTCCTATCACACAATGCTATCTCGATCTTCTTTCTGCCCTCCAAGCATTACTAAAAACATTTTCATGTTCAGTGCACTAGTCTAGATACTCCACCAATTTTGTACCACTATTGAAGATGTACATATCATGTGACCATTCCCCACCAATAGTATTGCACCACCTATATTGGTGCAGCTAGCTCCCTCTGCTATTCCCACTCAATCCTCACTTGGAATTGGCGGAATCTAAAAGAATAACACTGACAGTGGTGAGGAAAGATGGGAAAAGTGTGAGAGGCAAGTATGTACTGGAAATACATTTTCATTGTAAGAAAATGTTAACTTCCAATATAGTTTTACCTCCTCTCACACAAAACTAGAATCCCACATTGCAACCTATAGTAAAAAACAATCCGACTTAGCTCTGTCCCTATCTACTATCTAGCGAAACAACAGCCAATGGAACTGGCTTGGAGAAATCAGCGTAGAAATTTACTAAGTCTACAAAGTATGTAATAATAACAAATGTGTAAACCAACTAAAATTACCTAGAAAACAAAGTAATAATCAATATCTAACTTACAATAAATCTAATAAGACTTAGACAACCAAGAACACAAAAATGTGAAATACTTAACTATCCTGTGTGTAAAGAAGGACAAAGCCATCTAAATGGCATCTGAGCCATGCCTACTATGGGTATCGCAACCAGGTGTGAAGTGTACAAGTCAAAAATCTTATGATCAATCCATTGGGAGATCTGAAAGCAACAGGAAGAAAATAGGAGAAGAACAAACTTTCACCAAAGTGAACGATGTGGAGGCAGAGCAACAATAGCAGGCAATAGAAAACTATTGAAAAACTGAATATGCATTGACTGTCAATCTGAGCTGTTAGAAATGGTGTTGAAGGTGAAATCTCCTGAAGAGGTGTAGTGTGTGACAGAACAAAATAAGGAGTTGCCAGAAAAAAAAATACAAGAGTCCAAAGTTATAATTTTCCTATACTGAAAATATATTTCTGATAGGTATTTACGTCTGCTCACATAAATAGCTATTTTCGTTCAGTGCTAACTCTTATATATGAAATCATCATGCAACAACCCTTCCCCAATAAGAGTGTCACACACTCTACTGATACATGTAACTCCCTCTATTTGATTCTACCAACTATCACATCAGGTTTTGGCAGAAAAATGGAAGTACTGGATTTCAGTGGGGAGGAAGGGTGGGAAGTGTGAGATAGGAAAGTACCTATCAGAAATATATTTTCCGCATTGGAAAATTCTAACTTCCGATACAGTACATTATCTCTGTTCACATAAACAGCTAGAATCTCACGTTGAATAGGTGGAGGGACCAGTGTTGAGAGAAAGAAAGAAGCATCCTTCAAAAGTGTTTGAAGGGCACCCTAAAAGAGTAAATCCTCACAGTAGAAGATCATACATGGGAGACTGCACCACTCTGTACCAGGTATATTCTTCGCCTTGTGTGGAAAAAAGTGTTGCAGACATGGGTGGAAATTGGAAGGAGCATATCCAAAAGGGAGAGAACAATGGTTGGATAAGGATCCTAACTGCACGATATTGAAATCTCAATCCCTTAGAGTACCTCAGTGTAAGTGAGAGTAAAAAGATGTGCCTCTAGGTGTAAAGTGCCTAGGGCGAGACAGATCATACATGGAAAGTCAACTATATCCTAAATCCAGGCTGCTGTGAATCGACATCCACGCAGGGTTAGGATGAGAATCATACCATCAGTAAGTCAACTACAATCCAAAACCCAGCCATTTGTGGGGGTAGGAAAGAGGATCATACAATCTTCACTTCAAGTTCATCAGACGAGAGGGAATCTCATTCCCCTTAATCTATGAACGGGACACATGATAGCAATGTGAAAAATTGATTGAACAATCTGGGAACCCTACTTCTGGTCTTGTAAAGATGTCTTTGTGGTGTAAACCATTTCAGTATAAAAACTAAATTGACAGGAACTGCCCCTAGCACAATATAATAAAATCATCAAGGGATAGTGTAAGAGGAAGAAGTCCCTCCATCATGACACACAACACGAGTGGAAGGACGAGTATAATTGAGTGAGGAAATAGAGACACCTGTAATACATGTATGAGGACTTATGTTAATTGGTTCAGCTCTAAATCCAAAACTGGAAACCGACATCCACATGGGGGTAGGATGAGGGATCCCAATCGAAGGGGTGAACTCCAATTTTGATGACTCACTCCAGTTATACATAGTGGAGGACATATCATCATCCACACCAGCAGAACACCACCGCCCTACTCTCAACTGAATGGTTTTATCATAATATATATTTTTTATCCTTATCACATTCAGGAAGATGCATTGGTCCACTGCCAAAGAGCTTGGAACTAGAAAGTGGTAAGGACTCCAATACTCCACTGGAAGAAAAATGGGGGAGAAATTGCAGTGGAAAGTCAGGAGGAATGACAACATCTGAGACAACGGGTGACCACGAAAACCCTATTTTGAAAAGCAGACCATACCTGATTTATTCAATCTAAGGCATGGCAGGGATGGGCAGCATATTAATGAAGCAAATATATTGTGAGGACAAACCTACAAGTGATCTTGTGGAACACTCCATCTCAGCAGTGTGCACTTGTTGGCCACGGAAATTATAATTGTCAAATTATCAAGACTTTACAGTTCGGATTTGACTATTTTTAAGTATACCTGGTCAGGCACCATTTTCCACAGAGTGTAATCCAGATACTGCAAAATAAAAATATAAAAGCCACTGAAAAAGAATATAGATATAAAAAATAATTTACACAGTCATAGTCTCACTAAAGTCTGAAGAATGACTACAGGCAGAAAATGATAACCCAAAGGTGAAGATACAGCAATCGATAGTGAGATATGAAAGTATGTGGAGTAATCCAAATGCCTTAATGAAGAATTTCCTACTAGGCATGATGGGGATGAGACACAGGGGAAATGGTAAGGTGCCTGATCTGATGAGAACACACCTGAAACAATGTTCAGGAAGAAAACAATAAGGAAGAATAAGCCAATCAAATCAAAGGCCACACCCAATTGGTAAGGATGGAAGAAGAAAGATCATAAACAGAGGATAGTTGCCAAGGGATGAATAGATGGGAACAGTTATGACACAAGGAAGCCATGCGGCTGATATAACAATGAAGAGCATGAATAGGACAGAGAAATCTATCCGGATCAGACCTGGAATAGAGGTAAAAAATGGAAGGAAAGAAAATCAAGAAGAAGGAGGAATCACCCTCTTGAGATGCTGAAGTCTTGAGAAGGAAAGATCGATCTGGGTAAAGTAGATAAGAGTAATCATACAGAATATGTGAAACGTCAATGGTAAAAAATATGTCTTAAGGGATAAATAAAACATGGAACAAGACAACAAAAGTTCAAACAAAGGTAAAGTAAGGCAGTGAAGCACAAATTTGACACCCCAATCCATAAGGGTTGCATGCTGTGGAGGGCTACTAATCCAGAAGGAATGTAGTAAAAGTGACAAGGTAATGGGAGGCCAAACTTTTATGGTACCGGGAATAACAAAAGTGAGTGATAAAGTCACCCAATAACTTGTGATCAAGGAGTCCAAAGACCCCCGATCAAATAACTAAGTGAGGAAATATGTAATAAGAGGAACAATGCTACGAGCAGAGGAGAACCCATGACCCAAAGACCAATGGTGGAAAAATGTCACACTTATGCCGATAAACCTCCATGGAAGAAGGTTGAACTGAACGTGCAAACAACAAAGCTACACACTGTGATAAGCCAGATTTCCTAGACAAGGACCTGATAAAAACCAGGCATGGAGAAGAAGGGTAGGAATGGTGGGATGAGCTAACTGGGACTGAGGCTACTGTGGAAGGGAAGGAGTGCTGGAAAGAGGCAACAGTGGAACAGATTGGATCTGGAGCAGCCACATAAACTACATCTGGGCCGGCCAGTTGGGGGTAATCAGAAGGACTTGACATGGAGTGGAGTGGATGATATAAATCACTCTAGGAAGGAGTTAGATAGGAGAATACACATAAGGAAACTTGCCTGTTCAATACTGACTGAATGCATCAACAGCCACTGCATATGGATGAGGCACCGAAGGCCAAATCTGAGGTAACTTAGTATCGAGGATAGTGGCAAATGCATCCAGGTGCAGGTTACCCACCCGAGTGCATAACCACTGAAAAAATCTGAGGATTTAGAAACCACTCCATCAGATAAATTTTGTTCGGGTGGGATAGACGATCCATGACAAGGCTGAAAGCATCCAGAACAAGACACACAAATAGACGATTACTGTGCATGTGAGCCCAAAAAGGGAGATCCAATGTTCAATAACAAAGTGAACAAGAACAGGTGCCTCACTGATGATTGATATACACCACTACACAGAACATATATTAATATACACAGAAGTGTCTGTATGGAACATAACCAGATTGCAAGCAAGAGAAAGAAAATGATCCAAACCCTAATGAACAGCAAGAAGCTCCAAGACATTGATGTAGTAAGACCATTCTGTCATAGACCACTGACCAGAAGTGACTTGCTGCTCGACCCATGTCCCAAGCTGTGAAGTAAAGTATCCGTGAAAATATGTAAATGTGGACGAGGAGGCGAAAGTGGAACCCCACCAAAGTATGAGCTTTGTCCAACTACTAATGCAGATCATCTACAAGGGAAGGAGGAAGGATAATAGGAATATCTAAAGGATCCCGTGCAAGGTACCATTGATCATGAAGAGTCCATTGAATAAATCTGATATAAGCACAACCCATGGAATAAGTGCCACCATAGAGGATTACATCATCAAAAGAAATAGGACCTCATGAGCAGTAAGGGCATTGATGACTGCCAGTTCCATCGAATAGAGTCAAAGAAGAGAAGAGCCTAGACAACCCGTCTAGAAACAAACAGTGCCATTGCAAGACTGAAAGGAAGAATACAAAATTGATAAACCACCCCATGATGAACAAACCAAAGGTAGTGTCTTGATATGGGAATATGTAGATAAGCATTCAAGATGTCACTTGTGTGTGGGGCACGTCTATTGGTTGAGGTTTGTCACATGATGACTTGCATGCGTGAATCAGTTAAACCATGTGAACTGAGAGGGTAAGTAGGAGTAAAAAGGCTTGTGGCATGCAAAAAAATATTGGTAAATAGAGAGCATCCCTGAACAAGAATAGCTGTGTGAGCTGCAAATGTTGTTTATGAAAGTTTTGTTATCATTTTGAGATAATATTCATATTCAAGTTATTACTTTGATATATATAATTGCTGTTAAATTTACATTGTTTTAATTACCTTTAAAAATTCCCAGTCAGTTGACAGGTATTTCAGCTTGTTCCAAATAAATATATTAAGTATAGATAAATCCTCAACTCATGCTGAATTGAAATAAACATAACATCACTCCAGGAGACTAACACGAAAATAGGGTAGAACAGGTAATAGTCTATAAGGAACAAGAATTGTAGTACGTAACTTTTATTTAAGATAAAGGATTAATGTAAGTTTTATGATCTTTGTATATCCACTTTATCAGTAAGATATTGTTATTGAGTTCAACCAAAATTTACAAATGAAAATTCCAGGTATTTCCAAGGACCCAAGCTCAAATCAAATTAGTAGTTATTTCAACTGTGAGGATTAAGTGGATTGTTTAAGAAACCTCTGAAAACATAAGCATTTAATTTAGTTCAATTATTTTTTCTTGTGTTATTGGTTTCTTTGAAAAACATCAAAACCAAACAATTACCAAACACTACATGAATTTTTTGAATTTTGTCTACAAGGATGTTTCAGATTTATTTCAAAGATAAACATAAAAAAAAATGATAAAAAATTTTGAACAAAGCTACATAAAGGGCTATCTGAAGACATCCTTAATTTTGAACTGAAAGGCTAGAATGAAATCAGCTAGTCAAAAACAACCACTTCAAACTCTTGGGTTTCTACTGTCTAACTGAATATTGCAACTAGATTGTCACTTTTATAATACATCCATAGTTCCAAGGTAGAGAAAAGCTTTTGTGAAAATAGGCCACAAACCATGAATCCTTGGAACCATACTCTGGATGTATTATTTATGATTTAGAATATATAACCTTAATAATCCCATTCAATAATTTACTTTTCCAGCTCATAATTTTTGAGCTTGTAGAGTGTATCACAATCAAACTTACCACAACACCTATCATTAGACTTCCCTTCTTTTCAGCTGTTTCATATACAGCTGCAAGAAACCCTGACACACTGTCACCTACAAAGTCTAAAACTTGCTCGTCTTCTTCACCATTTATAATACTGGAACTAGGGCAGACATCTGTTTGAAAAAAATTAATAGAAAAGCATATTTAAAGCACATTGCTTTGCCTTCTTGAATACCACACACATAACAAACACTGCTACAGCATATAGTTCTATCATCAGAGTATTATGTAGGGTTAGTCTTAGCTCAAAATTAACATCTTGCAATAGTATTATAGCAGTGTTTCATAGAAATTTTAAACAGAATTACAAAACTAGGCACTTTTAGTAAAATTAAAGATATTTTTTTTAATAGTTTTACAGTGTAGGTGAACAAGAGTGACACAAGACCATTCTTCCTACTGAAGGAAATTCCCATTTAAAAACAAATATACAGATAAATAACACAAATTTTCTACTTAATTTTTTTAAGCATCATAAATACAGCCATTCAGACATAAAATATAAAATTTAATAGAATTCAAACTAATAGCACAAGCTATATCACCAGGAAAACAAGTTTACATCTTTAATTCAAACCACAAAGAAGTTTGTCTATGATCACAACTGTAATTAGGCTTCTAAAATTTGATCCTATTAACTCTAATATTAATGTTTATATTCCCAACCTATCACTCAGACAACCCACAAGAAAACTATCTAATTCCTTAATAATTTTGAGCACATGAATCAAGTCCCCTCCCCAATTCTTTTGCACTACAGAGAAAGTTAAGATTGTTTGTTATTAAGCACAAAGCTACACAGTGAGCTATGTGCTCTGTGCCATAGTGGGTATCAAAAGCCAGTTTTTAGCATTGTAAGTCAAAGTTAAAAATTCCAAGCCTCTTCTCATGGCATACAGTGGTAAGTTATTTAAACCACTAATAACTCTAGTACTCTATCCAGATGAGCCCTCACCATAGTTTCCTACAAGACTATAATAACCATTTTCTTAAATTTCTTTTCATAAAAGTTAAACACCCTTAATACAAATAAATGAAACTATATAATTGTGTATAAAAGTATTTAAAAAAAAAACAATGAAACGTAGAATCAGTGTTCATTTCTCAAAGATTGTACTGCAGCCTTTAAGTACTTTTACTGTTAATCTACAAGTCTATTTGCTTGAAATTGGTCTTCTTGTTAAAGTCTCCACTGGTGTCTTCTAAAATAATGACAGACCTGCTTATAACATTGTGTGCATATCTGAGTTTTAGATATGACTGTATAAGTAATGACATATAAAAGGCATCCAGTTTACAAAAGCTCAAATATTAAGTTAGGCATAGGTTTTAGTATTTGTTTTCTATGTACGATTATAATTAATTATAACTATTTAATATTAATTAAAAATTTTGATATGTTTGTTTTTAACTGTTTTTTATTTTCATATGAATCACATTATTAGAAGTAAAGATATAAGCTTTGAAAATGCTGGATTATAACTCAACTGAGGTAATCAATACAGAATAGCATTATTTTAACTTTCTTGGATTTATTTAGGTTATTTTAGGACTATATGGTCAACACCTTTTTTATCTAAGATAATAATTATAGTGGAAGTCTTTCTTCTTTCATAAAAAATACTGATAATTTGGTTACAGTGTTACAACTAACTTTCAAAAAGTTAGCTTCTATCAAAACATCCTTATAAAATGAAACATTAGTGTAGCTAGTTTGGGGGAAGTTAAACATTGTCGTTACTTAACACAATAAAACTATATTACCTGAATACACTGTCTACTTTAATCCTTATTCACTTTTCAACGGTTTTCAAATTTTGTTAGATAAAATTATAAATATCAAAATTTTATTTTACAAAGTACATTGATCTGATTTTTGTTATTTGACTTCAAATTTACTCTGCTTAACAAATATCCAAAATTACTAAGTTTTTCCCTAAGCTAAATACAACTTGCCTAGTAAATAACGTGAGTTATGGTTAATCATTTCTCTTGGATGATTACAAAACAGTTGAGTAACTGTGTAATTATTGATACAATACTTCTACCTTCAACATTGTTGCAAAGTCATAAATACAGTTATAAACACATAAAACAACGTGTACACTTTTCCAGGAAATTCAGTTACACAACTGCATGCTCTATACATTTTCATGTACAACAGTTTAGGATTAAAAAAGGTAACTTAATTCTAAATTATTGTGCCTTAAGTCTAAAGACAGGATTTCCTCTAGCTTTTCATACTTTTTACTACTTTAAATTTTTGAGAGGCAAATTTTAAAGTCAATTATGTATGTTAATTTTAACTATATTTCAACAGT